GCTGCAGCTCACAGAATCAGCCCCCTGCAAAAACAGTGCTGGCGAACAGCAAATAGAGCGAAATGAGGCATGGCTAAAATGCATGATCTGTTTGGTATTTTGAAAACAGAAACGTATAAATATACCTTATATAGGTATGGCCCTACAATATATCATTTAAATATAGCATGATAGGTCCACTTTAAGAAATGTGGCCCTTTCCACTATGAAGTAGCTTTAGCTGTAGCTGACACTGATGTTATTACAGAGAATCACCAGAGACTCGTCCTGCATCTCGGTCAAACACAACTCTGCTCCGGGCCTCCATGAACATCAGAGCTCAGGAGGCCAGCCTGCCAGAGTTCATCAGGCTCCGGCACTAACGGCAAACATGGAGGAAGTGTCTGAAAGTGACACACATCTAGTCCCATGTCGCGCTGCTGCCGGACAGACAGTGCTGAACCCCCCCCACAAAGCTTTCTTCTGCAGTTCACTAAGGTTTACAGAATGCCATCACTTCTGTCCATTTGTGGTACGTTTACTCAAGTACCTTTCTAACTAACACTTCAATTCAAAGGGAAATATTGTACTCTTTCCTTTATTACATTTATTCAACAGCTTTAGTTCCGTTATAGATTAAGATTTTCAAGCACAAAAAATAAACATTTTAAAACATGACGTTTTGATGTAGATCAAATCATCCATTAAGTGTGTCAAACATTGGTGGGTTGACTCTTATTCAATTGCATACATTTCGCTCATTGTTGTGTATTTATCAGTATTTTTTGATGTAGAACAATTCATAGTTTTAGCTTCTCAGTTGTAAGGATTTGCTGCTTCTCCATTTACATATTTTTAATTTATTTTTAATATGTTAGGGTTTTTTTTCTGCAATGAGTACTTTTACTCCCAATTCTTTGAGTGCATTTTGCTGATTATACTTACATACTTTTACTTACAGTAAGTACTATTTTCAATGCAATACTTTTACTTGATATGGAGTATTTTACAGTGTATTATTAATATATTTACTTACCTAAAGGATCCAAATACTTTTTCCACCTCTGTTGAGCACTAAGGTCTTCTTGATCTTTGTGTCATCTTTAAGTCGCTGATGGATTAAGTCTTTATGATTATTTCCCTGTGATTTCAAACATAGTTGCAGTGACCTTAAAATGTAATTAGTTTGGTTTTAATACAGTATTGACTCTGATATATGTGAGTTTGGGAAAAGTAATAGGTACGCTTGTTTCAATCCGGAGAGAGATGTTTTGATGTAGCAATATATATGTATTGCCAAGAAATACACAGATTAATGTAATGTTGTTTGGCGATTAGACCCCGTTGTGCGGGAGTATCATCCGGGAGGGGAATACCGAGCTGCATGGAACTGTCCCCATGTAAGGACGTTATATCACACCTAGGATCTGACTTTAGGTTAGCATAGACCAAGTACAGTGGTTTTTCTGCCTCTTGATCTTGAGGGAATACAGTGTTATCACAACGTAAACAAATAATAATTACAATTTGAATATGCCAGCAAAATGCTTTAATTGTATTGTAATGAATTGTCTTTAAGATACTTAGAAGAAATACACTGAAAACAAAACACTAACATATTATATTACCTTTAACATTATTATAGAGAATATGTTTTGCAAACAGTGGTGAGTGTACACGTGGAGCAGCCACAGAGCAGCATCAGCTGTTAAATGTAAATCTATGATTGTATTAGTTTGAGCTCTGTTTGTGATCCAGAAGGACTCCTGATAGAAGCACCTGTCTCTTTAGCTCAATGATCCACCATGTCCTGTCTCAGGGTCTGCTGCTTGCCTCTGAGCATGGAGTTAACGCTGAGCACTGCGCTCAGAGGTCAAAGTATTTCAACTTTGACAACTTTAACTTTTGACCTTTCAAGGTCAAGGTGGAAGTAGTACTCAAAACTTGTACTTAAGTAAAAGTAGAAGTACCAGAGTGTAGGAATAATCTGTTACAAGTAAAGGTCCTGCATTCAAAATGTTAATCAAGTAAAAGTACTAAAATATCACCATCAAAATAAACATACAAAAGTAGTCATTGTGCAGATTGGTCCATTTCAGAATAATATATATGATATGTTTTATAATGATTGATCATTAAAGTGTTCTCAAAGCGGGTACGGCATGACATCATGCCATACCCGGAACGAAATGGAAGAATCAAATGGACAGTGACGTATCTCCAACGAGGCGTTTTGGGGAGGTATTTTCTGTGTTAGAGTTTTACTCGCTACAGGGTGTACTTTGAGGGTTTTGACTCTGCACACCGTTTACATGCATAAAAACCTTCATAACACACAAGGGGACGGGTAATAACCGGAAAAGCATGACATGGGCCCTTTAACGTGTGCTCTGGTTGCAGTTTGTCAAATAATCTGGAAATGGATAGTGGGTGATCTGGTTAGATTGACATCATTAAATGTTAAGGGTGCAAACCTAGCCACTAAAAGGAAGAAGATTTTACTGTATTTAAAAAAAAAAAAAACGGATCTGGCTTTCTTGCAGGAGACCCACCTGGAAAAAAAAGACTCTTTGTTGTTTCAGAGGGACTGGGTAGGACAGGTTTTTTATAGTGCTGGATCCTCTAGCCAGAGGGGAGTTGCCATTTTGATACGAAAGAATCTCAAAATGAAAATACTTAAACAACAATCAGATGAAGAGGGGAGATGGATAGCTATCGATACTGAATGATATGGTATTAGATGTACTTTTATGAATATATATGCCCCAACAGCGGACTTGCCAGGTCTCTTTATAGACGTCAGCAATACTATAAGACAATTCGGAAACTCGTATATAATATTAAGCGGGGACTTTAACAAAGTTAGGGACCCTCAAGTTGATAAAACCTATAGGCGGGGTATACTACGACCCTCAGGGGCTCAGAAAGCTATTGACGCAATGGAAAAAGAGTTGGGATTAGTGGATGTATGGAGATTTTTCCACCCGTTGGAAAGGGAATATACCTTTTACTCCAACCCACATACATCCTATTCAAGGATAGACTATTTTCTTATCTCAAAGTCACTCATTTCTGTTACAGAACAAACGTCCATAGGTAACATCTTAATATCAGATCATGCTTCGATCATAGCGTTTCGTTTAGGCCAAATGCCAAGAACCCCACCCACTAGGTGGAGATTTAATACATCCCTACTCCGAGATGGACAGTCCCTGGAATTTATAAAAAAGGAGATAATGGATTATTGGCTGAATAATGAAGGCTCAGTTTCAAACACAGCCGTGGAGTGGGATGCATTTAAGGCAGTCATTAGAGGTCGACTCATTCTACACTGTTCATATCTGAAAAGGACATCGGTTCAACGGCTTAAGGAATTGGAGCTGGAAATAACAAATCTGGAAAATGTACACTCTTCCCAGCCTGACCACGCTACCCTTCTGGAACTAAACAAACTCAAAGTATCAAGCTAACTCCATGTTCAGGCAGAGTGGGTGATGAATGTTCCCCTTGACGCCATGCTTTTATCTGAGCAGAGCTTTCTCTGTACAGCCTGTCCATGAGAAACTCAAGCTAAGGCTCCAGATCTTTTGTTTTCACGCCGTTGTTTCCTCGTCCTGTTGATTCATTATGAATTTGCATCTTTTCAAATTTCAAATTATCTCTGCTCTTGTTGGAAAAGTCTCAGTGGAATTTGCATAACAAAATTCCAGTGACTCATCTCCGTATAAGAGTGCGTTGCTAAATGAAGAATTGTGCTTTAGGCTTCAGCAAAAGACTGGCTGTTAGAATAGAGGGCGATAAGCCTTTGTCGTCGTCCCCCCCCCCCCCCGTTGAAGGGATTGCCTTCTTTGTCCCGGCGGCCAAGAGTTACATAAGAAGAGGCTGGCTGAGATAGCATCACCCCCACAGTGCAGCATCCTCAGGCCAGATCTCTCTTATAGAACATGTCTTATAGCTGCTGATAGGCCATTCTGTAAGGCCTTCTCTATTCAGAGCGGCTTTGGACCAAATAGTATCAATACAATCAACACACAGATAGAGCATGTCATCTTAATGTAGCTCATTTTAATGTTTAAAAAGAGACTGATGTGTTGGCTTTATGCAGTACGATCAGCTATGGCTTACTTAAGAGCACTCAAAATTAGGGACTAATGAATCGTTAGGTTGCATTGTGGTAAACATGGGATATAATGTTAGGACTAACAGCCAGGATACTTTGATTTGGATCGTTCTTCCTCAGATCTTGTCAGTCTCATAACATCATGATAGTGAAGCAAACCCTATCCAGAACACCACTTCAGCTGAAACCGTGTTATGTGTCAGCTTGAGCTAATTGTGAATGGATATTTATAAAAGATATATACTATGGGGTAGTGATAAATGAATATGAACTCTAATACTGTCCCTACAATTTTTACTTCATTTTGGCAGAAAAGGTTTCTGACTTCAGTCTTGATTTGATCTTTCAACAAGTCTTCATCTCTTTATACTGCTATCACTTCTCTGTGATTGTAAAACGTTGATGTCCCTATGTAAGTGGGAAGGTTTGTCTGAATGATTTGACCTCTACCTTTTAATGTCATGTGATTCAAGAGTCCTGGATTTATTCATTTATATTTGAACTACAAACCTGCACATATTTGAGCTGTGGTATGTTGCAGTATAGGAACATGTGCTGAAGCAACACAGAATAATCAGCTGAAATCTGAAGGTTGAAAATAATAAATAGATACAAAAAGAAGTATGATGATAATAATGATAGTACATCAAAATCCTGTTAGAATATGTTTTTTTCAAATTAAAGGAAACCTAAGAACTTTTAAATAAATATAATGTAGGAGCAATCTGCAGGTTCAGTCCCAGCTACAGTTTCAGCTAACCCGTCTAACTACATTTCACCTCTTCATTATAAAGCACAAACTCTGGCCTTCACTGTGGGGGGTGGGGGGGGGGGGGATGCCCCTCTATCTCCTCGCTGCAGAGCCTCACCGTTTGAACACCTCTCTGTGTTTGTGTTGCAGTGCCGTCGTTCTGGGGGCTGGTGAACTCCGCCTGGAACCTGTGCTCTCAGGGGAAGAGGCAGTCTCCAGTGAACATCAAGACCGGACACATGATCTTTGACCCCTTCCTCACGCCCATCAAGCTGAACACGGGTGCACGCAAGGTAAGGACACACACCTCCTCTGTGGGGTGGATGTTTGTCCACTCACTTTGGTTGCTTCTCTCAGATGTTGCACCACAGCTCTAATGCTAGTTATGGTGTTGCTGTTGTTTCTGTGCTATTGTAAAGCGTGTGTTTCCCTGATCCATGCTCCTGACTGCTGTTTGTCTGGGCACACAATGTGAGCTATTTGTCTAACGAACACTTGGCTTGAGATACAATACGAAAGACTTTACCTATTCAGAGGAGCACAATGTTCTGATTCAAGAAAAGCCTGGACTTTATCTTGAGGGCTTTGCAGATGAAATCCTGCAGCCTAACAGCAGATTAGCCACGCATATCGTTTATTATTTTCCTGTAGTGTACCAAGGACAGCGTGTAGACTTCTCTTCCATCCTGTGCCATATGATGGCAGCTAATTGGGAAGCCTTCACAGATGGGCTGCTTTCAGAAGTGCACCGTTGCATGGTGAGATTAATGTTGTGATTAGTTGATGTTTATATGCCAGCAGTTAGCACAGGGTTAGCCTTGTGCAATGAAAGAGCCTATAGGACGCTCTGTGGTTGAACATCTCTGGTACACAGGGATCATCTCACAGATCCAGGATAGCCCCATGTTGTTCCCCGGGACCTTTGCTTCATCACAGTTTCCATTATAAGAAGTCATTTAGAATGACATTTGCAGAATCATTGTACATTTTTAAATCATTGTACATTTGCAGAATCTAATAGAATTAGTTAGGAAACTTGTGATTAAAATAGTAATTCGTGCTTTTTCTCGTTAGTATAATTGCTACTTGAAATACAAATTTGTTTTAACAATTGCTCAATGCCATGGCTCCCCCGCTGCTCCCCCAAAGACTCCACTTTGAGAGCAGCCCCCCCGCAGTGTGTCCAGTGAAGGGACATCACTCACAGTGGCTCAACTGTATTTACATTAGGATGAATCCGAGGGAAAAGAGAGAGCAGGAAAGACAGGGCTGTGTTATTTAGGCAAACATTAAAGGACAATTCTCAAAGTCCTTGCTGGAGGGAAATGCTTCTGGATGAATCTGTGATGGATATGCCACGCTCAGATTGTCCTTACTCCAGCATTTGGTTGTTTTCTCAAACACCGAAAACAACCTACACTCTGTTTTCTTGACAAGTGACTTCCTGCAGTCGTGATAGCAATCACTGTGCCCTCCAAACTGCAGCAGGAGTGTGCTGCTGTCACAGAGTGCTTTCAGAGGGAGGGGGGGTGGATGGGTCAGCCAACACTCTGAGTCACACGCTACTTCCTGTTTTGTACCAACAGGCTGTTTCGCCTTTAAATCTGCAGAAGTGCCACTGGTATTGGATTTGCTGTTATACATCCTGAATCTGGAAGCACAACTGAATCATTTGTATTGTGTTGCAACAAAGTGTTATTATTGTTCTCCTATTAAGAGATTTGTTTTGTTGGTAAAGCATAGTTTAACCAATATAATAATAATAATAGCTTGGATTTATATAGCACCTTTCGTGAGACCCAAGGTCGCTTTACAAAGAAGAGCAGGGGCAAAACAAACATAACAAAAACAAAAGGCAGTACTACACATAACTACACATTTTGGTTTAATATACTTTTGAATTTAAATAACTTTAAAAAAGCATTAATATTACTACTTACAGTACACTTTAAAAGTGATTGCATTGAAAGAAACGTAAAGAACTGTGAAATGACCACATCACGTCCCATATCACAATGTGTAGATAATATAATTAGTAGATCAATGTACATTTTCTATGGTGGTATAGCTGAGTTCATTTGAAATCCCTTAAATCAGCTGTGCAGCCTCAGCTATCACAAACATGTGTTGATATTTTGTAGTGATAGTCTGAAAGTCCAAAGTAACAACTTGTAACTGAAGGTATACTCCAGAGTAAAGAGTTCATGGTGTTTTGATATGTTTAAATAGTGTCAGGGTCATATGAATCTGGATCCTGCGATCATGCTAGCCTTCTGGGAAAGAGGCTAAATGTTTCTATCATTGGGTCCTATCTTATTGTCAGATTGACAATATTAGTAAGAAGATGATGAATGACCTTGTTTGTCACTCAGCTCATATCTGCGTTCAGAGACCATTGCTGTGCAGATGATACTACTATTTTAATAAGAAAACATTTATAAAAAAAATATTGAAAGAAAAATGTATCAAAACAAGTTTTATTAAGTCGTGCCACTAATAACTTAGAATTGAAATAAAATAAATAAACGTTTTATTTCCCGCCTTCACTAACTCCCCTTTCTGGGGCCCTGGGTCATATTATAAGCCACTCCATTTCCAGAAATGTTACCAATATCAACGGCAGACTGTTTCACTAACTGCTCCCTAACCCTCCCCCCCATCCCCATCCCCATCCCCATCCCCATCCCCATCCCCATCCCCATCCCCATCCCCATCCCCATCCCATCCTCATCTCATCACACTCTGGTAGGATTACCACTACACACTGACAGAGCAGAACCACCCACACAAACCCAGCTCCAATTTTCTGCTTTATCTCCGGGAAAAGTTTCCAGAGTCCAAAAGCCATTTTGTACTTCCTTCTCTTGCTTTATCTCCCCCTCTAACCCCCCCCCCCCCCCCCCCCCCCCCCCCCTCTCTCAGTGGCCTAAATGTAATCTGTTGTGTCTCCATCTCTCTGAGCACCTGAGCTGTCAGCCCGTGAACACCAGGCTGGATCACCCTGTCAGGCTGATTCATCCGCTCTGTCTCTGGCTGTTTGGCAGCCAGTCAGCCTTGGCCAAACACGCTACGGAGAACACACACACACACACACACACACACACACACACACACACACACACACACACACACACACACACACACACACACACACACACACACACACACACACACACACACACACACACACACACACACACAGAGAGAGAGATTTTTGTTCTGCCTTGTATGGCTAATGAATAGTTAGAGGACATTTAATTGACCTCGAAAGAGAAATGTTATTTAATGGAGGGGTGACGTGCGCGATGGACTGAAGGAATCACAGTTGTGAGAAAAGCACTATTAATTGAATATTAACTGTGCCATAGATGAGCTGCAATTACTTGAAGAGATTTTAATGAATTTAATCACTTAGCCAGAGAGGGAAAAAAACAATTTGGATTCCTCGCTGCCTCCGTCTCCTGCACATTTATGAATAGTGCTTATGAAACAGGATTAGATGTCTTTTGTGCTTTTTAGGCTAAATGCACAGGGAATCTATTAGCGCTGTGAATTTGGTGGCGTTCCTCACATTTGGGAATGCAGGGCTCTGCTGCTTTTGTTCTCACGCTTTGAAGTCAGGTGTGTGTGCAGAGCGGCAATGTGAACATCACGTCAGGCGGAGTATTTGATAAAAATGGATATTTATGTCTTTAAAATGGAACTCTGAGTTCAACAAAAGTTGTGCTTTTAAAGATTTTAAAGATATTTTGGTTGTTAAACAAGCTCCAAATGACAATCTGTGCCTCACCAGGGGGATTCTACTCAGCTTCTCTCTCATCTCTTCTTCTACTGTACTGTAACACCTCTTCCAGGAGTCCTGATCAAGCAGATGAGGACATCTGACAAGCATGCAGGTGTGTGTGTGTGTGGTGTGTGTGTGTGTGTGTGTGTGTGTGTGTGTGTGTGTGTGTGTGTGTGTGTGTGTGTGTTGTGTGTGTGTGTGTGTGTGTGTGTGTGTGTGTGTGTGTGTGTGTGTGTGTGTGTGTGTGTGCTATTGGCAGCCCTGAATCTGTCTAATTACAGTGAGAGTTAGGTAGCAGCACAAACAGCCGGCTCCTGATGGCAGCTGACTCTCCCTCTGGAGGGAATAACTTTCTGAGGTGGGCCCAGCTGGCCGGCCAGCCAACCAATCAGGTGACAGTCAGACCTCCAGTCAGTCGTAAAAGCCCTGTCTGCACATGGCTTTAATGTGATGTGTTTGATATCAGGTGTGTGTGTGTGTGTGTGTGTGTGTGTGTGTGTGTGTGTGTGTGTGTGTGTGTGTGTGTGTGTGTGTGTGTGTGTGTGTGTGTGTGTGTGTGTGTGTGTGTGTGTGTGTGTGTGTGTGTGTGTGTGTGTGTGTGTGTGTGTGTGTGTGTGTTTTCTGCTGCTAGTGTTGGGTCTCTTCCAGGCCGCTCTCTGCAGACTCTCGCTGGAAGCTGCTCAGTGCATGTGCTCCGGACACATTGATTATATATGTTGGCTTTCATTGACTGGGGCAAATGCACTGTTACCTGTGGGCGGATCAAAACTACTCAATTGTTCTTGCAACAAAGTTTTGTGGAGAGTGGAGGATTGTTCAAAAACAATTGAATCTATTTCAATCCAATTCAGTTATTGATCATGTCTGAGCCTCTGAGTCTCCCTTGTAGGAAAACGTCATCATGAGCAGATACTGTAAATCTCAACACAGTGCGGCAACTCAAACTCAAGTTAATTCAAATTAAAGTTGCAGATTAATTAATTAATTAATTTGGTAAGCATTGTGGCAGATTGTATTTTTTACCATGTTGATGTCCACATTTTTTTAATTTCTACTATTACTATTATAACTTTAATTTGGATTGACTTCTTTCTCGCCAGTAAAAAGTTCAATATTGTGGGGGTTCCAACTGTTGTGGATACTGTGACATTATTGAATCATGATGTTAACCAAGCCCTTTATCATTATGAATAACATTCAGGGCTCTCTTGGCTTATCTGAGAAGTGTATGTATAACCCATCAATAAGCACATTTTTTGAAACATGTTGTGACTCTGTTGGATCTCTGTGTTGTGAGGGTGACAGGTCACATTCACACTCATGGCAGGTACACTTGTGTGCTGCTGTACACAAAAGAGTCAAAAGCCTGGCAAGTATAAGTCTGCAAACACAAGCTGATGTAAGTAGCTTAATGCATTACAATGTGTAGATATTCAATTATGCAAATTGCCAATTCCAATTAATTAGACACGAGTTTGGGTTGGCTGAACCTGCGAGGTTGTGGCAGCG